AGTGTAAGAAATCTTTCCATGGGAAAATGGTGTGGATTAGAGAAAAACATGATAAAAGGAGACTTTGAAGGCTGGTTACAATTAAAGGAGAAGACCCACTAACACAAAATGGAGAAAAGTATTCTGGAAGATTTCAAGGACGTTTGGCAACTATGTACTCAGAGCCTTCTCTTAAGATTGTCTGATACTATAAAACAGGTTTTAAAGAGGAGATAGAAGAGGATACAACTGAGAACATGGATCTGAAAATGATTGAATACAAGAATGATATTGACAAAGATGCTACATAGGACTTACAAATGAAACTGGCTGATGTTTTAATAACTAAAAGGGACATATAAATAATAAATCAGAAGAGTGACTTGGATGTGTGGATTTCAACACAGGAGAGTGACTTGTGTAAGGGTTGCTGCATTCGGCGCTGAACAGAAACCTCGTGAGGCACCGGCTCAGACGAAAGCTAGTTTATTCAGGCGTAATGCGTAGCTGTTACAGACGAAACCAGGATTGGCTTGGCATGGTTTCTTACAACAGTTTTACAGGGGTCCCCCCTTGACCTGCAGTTACCCCTCGGTTCCACCCCTCGCCCTCGCCCTCGCCCTCGCCCTGGGCTTGTCGGTGGCGATCTTCCTTCCCCTTGCCTTGACGGCAGATTCAGCCGGTTTCTGTTACGTTATGATCTTCGCCCTTTGTCTGTCTTGCCCTTGCATTCCTTGAGCCTTTCTCATGTTGAGTTGGAGTGGCTGTTTTAATCTGGTTCTGAACTGGCCGCGACTGCCTCTGGATTGCTGCGCCCCCGGCATATCGTACGCCGCCGGAGTTGCCCGCTATGGTGCTGCCACTTCTCACTGGCCCCCTGCCGCGAGTTAAGTGCCCGCCCCGTTGGCAGTTAACTTGGGTTACATCGCTCCCTTGCCCCATTGCCTGAGGCGGTGAAACTGACCAACGGCTTGTGCTGCAGCGTGTGCTTCCTAGGCTGAATCTGACAACTTGGACCACTTTCTTATTTTGGGTTTACAAAAGAGATGCGTTACACTTCTCAAGGAGTTTCTGAGAAAAGATAAAGAGGGAATGAAAAGAAATCTGCTTTTGGGACATTACTTAAAAGGAATAAACATCAAGCCTTTTAAAACCAAAAGGAAGGGTTATAAAGTCAGTTTGCTCAATCAAGGTTAAAAACATTACTTAAAAGGAATAAACATCAAGCCTTTTAAAACCAAAAGGAAGGGTTATAAAGTCAGTTTGCTCAATCAAGGTTAAAAACATTACTTAAAAGGAATAAACATCAAGCCTTTTAAAACCAAAAGGAAGGGTTATAAAGTCAGTTTGCTCAATCAAGGTTAAAACGTATGATGTTTTTTCTTCTCATAGTTTTGAATGGATTTTTCTTGACCAGGACTGAATAATGAGACCTTAAAGATTTGCCATTAGGTAAGATATGGCGAAAAGAGCGTTTTTGTTGTATAATTAGAGAAAGTGATGGGTTATGATGTTAAAATTGAAAGAAATCTGCAAAGGAATTTCTGAGAGGAGACGAAAAAATGGTAAGAAATTAATTTGTGGGGTATTATTTGAAGGGTTTAAAGACAAAGATTTTCTGGTAGTTCTTAATGGATTTTTTAAAATTAAGTTTGAACAACGAGCTTTTATAGGTTTGCTTATAGATGTAAGATAAAAAATGGGAAGAAGAGATTTTTGTTACATTTTTAGAGAAAACGATAAGTTACTGGGTAAAGTAAAGAAAATGAAATTGATCTACTTGTTTAATGTTATATATTAAACTATTTCTAGTAATTCTTAATGGACTTTTGCTGATTAAGATTGAATGATGTTTTATTATTTACTAATAGATAAAAGACGAGTTATGGGATGAAGATACCTTTGGTTGAAATGTTTGAGAAGGTGATAAGTTACTGAAATTATTCATACTTGTCTTAATGAAGGGGGAAGTAATTTCTTTATACGTTCTTTTTTCCTTACATATTTTTCACTTTTTCCTCCCCCCCTTTTTTCTTTTCCCTTTGGACTTTTTATTCTTGTTTTCTTTTTTCTTAGTTTACATTAGTTTTTTATCTCTGTATCATTACACCTTAATAAAAATTATTATTGCACCTAAAGGCCAACAGGGTCAGGGCCAATCTAAGTTCTGGGGGGATGATGCTCCACAGGGCGGGCACCATGGGAGAAAAGGCTCTCTTCCTGGGTCCCGCCAGATGACACTCTTTCACAGACAGGACCTGTAACATGCCTCTCCTGCCAGTCCTGATAGAATAGGTAGATGTAGCCAGGGAGAGGCGATCCCTCAAATAACCTGGTCCCATGCCATGTAGTGTTCTATAGGTCATTATCAGCACCCTGAATTGAACTCAGAAGCAATGGGAACCAATGCAGTTTGCAGAGCACAGATGTAAGGTGTACTGATTGAGGAGCGTACATAACTGTTCACCGCATTTTGTACCAGCTGCAGCTTCCAGATGTTCTTCAAGAGCAGCCCCATGTAGAACCCTTCACAGTAATCCATTCAAAAGGTGACCAGGGCTTGAGGGACCGTTAGGTGAGCCTCCTGGTCCAGGAATGGTGCAACTGGTGTACAACATGGAGTTGTGCAAAGGCACCCTGGCCATGGCTGCCACCTGGAGTTGTGAGTCCAGGAGAACCCCCAGATTATGCACCAGGTCTGTTTGGGGCAGTGCCACCCCATCCAGAACCAAAGATGCTAAGTCCCTGGAACATGTAGGCCCTAAAACCCAAAGTCATTGAGTTTTGCTCAGGTTGAGCCGAAGTCTATTGTTCCCCATCTAGCCTCCAGACACCAAGACAGGACCTTGACAGCATGACCTAACTTGCCAGGGGTGGAGACGTAAAGTTGGGTATCAACAGCATACTGATGATACTTCATCCCATAGCAATGGATAACCTCACCCAGTGGTTTCATGTAGAAGTTAAACAGGAGCAGAGAGAGTACCAAATCCTGCAGAACTCTGCAAAGCAGGGGCCATGGGCAGGACCTCTCACTCCAAATCAACACTGACTGGAACCGACCCCAGAGAAAGGAGGAGAACCGGCACCATACAGTGCTGCCCATCCCAACTCCTGGAGCTGGTCCAGTAGGATACCACAGTTGATGGTATCAAAAGCCTCCAAAATGTCATGAAGAACATGGACAGACACACTGCTCCATCCCGTTCCCATCAGAGGTCATCCAAAACTGCAACCAATGCCATTTTGGTCCAATGCCTTAGCCTGAAACCCGACTGAAAGGATTCCAAATAAGCTGTTTCATCCAGGATCCTCTGAAGCTGTTGGGCGACCACCTTCTCAACAAAAGGGACCACCTCCCTAAAAAGGGAAGATTGGAAACTGGATGAAAATTGTCCAGTATGGTTGGGTCTAGCAATGTTTTTTTGAGAAGGGGACAATGCCTCCTTAAGAGGTGAAGGGACACCCCCCTCTCTCAAAGAAGGAGTAACCACCACTAGAACCCAGCTATGTGTCACCTCCCAGGAGGCTTTCTTCAGCCAGGGGGGACATGGATTCAATAGACAGGTGGCTGAGTTCACAGTCATGAGGACATTGCCTACTTCCTCAGGCCCAACAGGAACAAATTCATCCCAGATAACAGAGCAAGACTGCATCCTGGGCACCTCCATAGGACCTGTACTAAGGCTAGCATCCAGCTGAAATTTTTGAAATAGCAAAGTTGTTAATAACCAGGCTGTACCAACATATCTTTAAAAAATGCTATTATTACCAGTAGTAGGACAGGGATCCTCAAACTTTGCTGTGTCATGATCCCTATTCTTTTAAAATAAGATTGACTCATCAGCTTGATATCACAAATTCAGTTCTCTGGTCTAAATAATACAATTTTTAAAAAATTGATTATGTCCCATCAAGTCGTTTTCGACTCCTAGTGACCATAGATAGAT